ACTTTGCCCTTGCTGTTGCTTTCTGAATACAAGTTTTCATTAATTATGTTCTAATTGGTTTATATTAGAGAACTACACGATCTCGATACAGAGAAAACATGAGGTATTAAGGGAAAAATACAAGAAAATAGATAGTTTCAACTCCATATTGCAAGTGAAAAGATGAAAGGGAACTTCCATGGGAGTCAGTGAATATAAAACATCTCTTCAGGAGTCCCATCCTTTATGTCCTCTTATGAATATAACCACAAACTTAAATTCTAGCTCCAATAAAGAAGGAAGAAGCACAGGAACCAAAATGAACTCGAAATAGAAGAGTCCGTCCTCCGCCGCGCTCAGAAAACCCCGTCCTCTACGTCCCCACGAGACACGGAGCAAGGCTTATGAATATCATTTCCAAATCGCGAAAAGAAGAGAAAAAGAAGAAGGCCCAGTCGAAAAGAGAGAAAATAAAACCCGAGGCGAAATAGGAGAGTCCATCCTCCAAGTGCCTGGGAAACCCCCCGTCCTCTGCGTCCTGTTGGCAACGTTCCTCATCACCCTCACCACCCTCATCACCCTGGAGAGTGTGGTGTGTGTCTCCGCTCACCCCGCCCTCACTACTCCCTTCCCTGGCTTCAGTGTTGAACATTTGCAACCCACCGAGAGTCAATCGCTGTTTGGAAACGGTGGATGTCACAGAGAGAGAGGGAGAGGGCGAGTGTGACCAAGGCTTTGGAGATCGAGCCATTTTTTATCGGTGGAAGGAGGAAGGAACTGGGTGGAATACAGGTGGATTCGGTGGAATACAGGTGGAGGAGTGACGTGTTGGAGCCCTTTTTGGTGGAGGTGGTGAGTATGGCGGCTGTGTGTAAGGTGTGAGGTGGGGGAGGAGGGTTTTTTTTCAGGGGGGAGGTGTTGGAGGAGAGGGAGGGAGAGAGGAGGAGGTTCACAGGTTGTGGCAAATTGAGGTTGAAACTCCTGTCTACCGGGAATATTTTTTTCCCCTTTTATAAACCGTTGTAAATATCATGAATATCGTAAGGGTGATAGCTCTATGATTGCATATTTTTTTCCTGTATTTATTTGTGTGTTGCTGTGATAAGTACTTAGAGAAACAAGCCAATGTTTATATATTGATTAAAGTGAGTATTTACACTTCTTTTTCTCAAGGAGATTCCAATACATCTTTGAAGGCTAGGTTTCTTGCAGTTAATTACATCTTTAAGAGTGAGCAAATTGGGGTCATGTGCCTGTGAGTGTAATTATCAAGGATATTAGATATTTATGGCAAAAAGAAGGTCAGAGGAATGGCCATGTGATTTTAAACATCCATCCAATGTGTTTATCATCATTAACTCCGAAAGTGCAAAGTGAAATGGAAAGTTAGGTTCTCCAGAGAAATGATAATGATGAAAAGGCAAAAGTGGAGGAGATCAAAGGACTTCCGAGGCATGTGTAGACCCTCCAAAGTTGGGCTGATTAACTGTATTTGAATTGTATTTGGAATGAAGGTTGTAGATTGCATCACTTTTTCAGCCACACAGCAAGTGTTGCATTCTTGGCAGGTGTGTGTGTAAACAGATTTCTACGAGTGTTTGCTCTTTAGTTTCCACACAGACTTGCTTAGAAAGATTATAAGTGTTTGTTTTGTTTTTTTACAAGTGCTTCTGTATATTTGGGAGTGAGTTTATGCTGATTTTTAAAACTGTGAACATAATAGATGTTGAACGATTGATTCTCTTGAGTGATTTGTGAGAAATGGTGTAATTGTGAGCAATGAGCTGAGGTTCATGTACGAATTCCTGCCGAACTGCACCTCAAGTTCAAAAGAAACTCGAGATATCTATAAAGGTGGTTATGGTAGGAGACCCTCATTGTGATTTTCAAATTCGTGTTTTTTCTCAATCATTTCAAAACCTACTAGGATCTATGATATGGAGTATACAAGTGAAACCCAGTCTGATAGTGTCAAACTTCATTCTCTGTAAAAGCCTTCAAACCTTTACTGTACATGTTTTGGCAAGATAGTGTATGGATTAGTTCTTTAATTGATGATAAATCACTAGGATGTCTACAAACTATATCTTTGGAGCATATATATACATTGAGCAGATTAGTTGGTTTTTGCTAAAGCACCAACAAGTATGGAGACACCAAGCATCTTCTAAGCATATACTTTAGATTCGGAAATATAAGATGGAACAAAATGTTGATATATCTTCTCTTAAACAAAATATATAAATCATTGTTATTTTCCGAGTTAGATTTAAAAGTTGAAGTAGAAGAACGAAATGATGGTTGCAATTTAACTAAATTTTTAACCAAAGAATTTGAAGGTTACATAAATGAAGATGATGTTCATTTGCCGATTGTATTTAAGTAAATGTCGGAAATGAAACTGATGTAAGAGGAATTTGAGAAGTATAGAAAGAAGGTACTGGTGAACAATATATCCATGTGGTTACGTACCCGAACTGGAGTTGCATCATGTGCTTACCAATAACCAGCAAATCTCTACCATATATATCCTGACAAGATAGTGCTTGGACTAGCCTAGTTCCTTATTTGACAGTATATTGCAGGAAAGCTTTGCAACCTCTTATGCTGCCAGAATATATATGGTGGTCATGTGTTCTTTGTCGCAGGAATTACCTGTGCCACAGTAATCACTGTTTTCAATATTAGCATCATTATACATCCCTTGCACTGATTATATTCCGCAGCAGTATGGTAGTTTTGTTCCTTTGTCTTTCAGAAGCTATTGTTTATTTTTTATCTTCAGGCAGTTCAGTTGTGGACAATATTAGATGTGTATCATATGCATAATTGTATTACACAGAAATTTGTAAACATTTATGCATATATATATATTTGGGGGGGAGCAGAGATTTTGTAGTTTTTTGGTAAGGATTGAGAAATACAGTTCAGAAGTGTGGATGATTGATTTGATTACCAAATGCATTGAATATTTTTCTCCATGAGTTTCTCATATTGACAATAAAACTGTTTATTATGGACATGGATATAGATTTTCAAAATAAATGTTCATGGTTTTGAGGACTGTAAGGGAAAAAAATGGTGTTTATAAAGATTTGATAAGTTCCATTTTCTATGAGATTTCATTCCCTTTTTTTCCCCTCTTTTATTTTTTGATAATTTTATTAATCTTACCTGCGACAGACCTTTACTTATATTACGTGATTTTTGAAAGGATGGAAATCAATACAAGTTATTTATTTGAATAGCAAATTGCTAAAAGTTTTGGATTACAGAAAATAAGATCTTTGTTGTTTAGTTGAACCATGCTTCCAGAAACATTGCTGAGAGATGCAAGACTGCGATTTTACACATGCCAACTTATGTATTACAGCGTCTTAGCAAAGAGGTAGTATTAGTTAATGATTTCATATGTATGTCATGTTTTGCTAAGTAGCAGTAATTACATCTGACCTCATTTTTGGTATCTCATATTCCAGATTTTGAGATAGTTATTTTAGATTTAAAATAGCAAGAAAGATCTCTAGTTATAGACTGAACACACCTTTTTTTTTTTTTTTTTTCAAAAAAAGGTAGTCTCCTCTGCTTTCAAGGCTCTTGTATCCGATACGCATACTATTCCAAGTCCAAGTCAAGGGCATAAAAGTACATAAATGTTTGACATGTAATATGTAGCTGTTTTTGTATTAAAGAACTGACTTCTCTTGACAAACTATGGAAGTGAGTGGCAGAGTGGGCGGAGTATATCCTATCATGAAGCAACTTTTCTCTTCCACCATTCATTGCATGTTCAGTTAGAATAGTGTTAGAGATTGCATTGTGACTTATTTTGGTATGACATCTTTATATTAATATTATGTTAAAACTAGAGAGTTTGCATTCTTTGAAGGGTACTAAAGATATTAAAGTTTAGACATTGATATTACTATTGTTTTTGCACAATTTCATTATATTTATATCATAGTCTTGGTGGATAGAGTTGAGTCAGCTGTATTGAAAAAATACAAGATGCAGATGTAGTTGCACAGAACTGTGAAATCATAAATTATATACATTTTTGGATTTTTTATAATTTTCTCTTAAACAGTGGTAAAAGAAGATATTATTTGACTATTATTGTAGAGCCAACTTGAAAGCGATACCAAAATTTATTTTGATTTATTCATTCATTGTTAGTATTGTCATTGCTTTTTTTATTATTAATCATTAGTTAGTTATTAATTATTAATCTAGCTACTGTCATTTTTTTATTAATTTTTGATTATCTTTCTATTTATATACTTATTTTATTTTATTTTATTTATTTATTTATTTTTTCCCAAGTGAAAGGTCTACTCGTCTTGGATTATGTCCGCTCCATTTATGGCTGGGTATTCCATTTAGTGTGTCATTGAGTAATCAAGGCTATCAGAACAAAGTATGTGATAAGAGTCTGTGTGTATGTTTTCTGATAGTAATTTCATGGGTGGTAAGGAGACTGCAAATACAGTTTATTTTTTAGGCCAAAAGTACCTGTAGGCTATACAAATCTACATGATTTTTTTTATTTATTTTATTGCATTCCAAGAGCAAGTTGTTACAAGTCTATTCAACTACATATAGTTGCCCTGTAGCTTCATAACTCCTTTCCTTGTAATTTCATACCTATAAAAAAGTGTGATTTTGTAAAATTGCAAGCATTTATGACTAATTGAAGAAGGAGAATGACAGTGGAGAATAAAGGATTACTTGTTATTAAACATTACATTTGCTGAGATACATTACAGAATAGAACTTGCTGTTATAATTATTCAGACATGATAAGATTTTTTTTTTAATGAAGCCAAGATATTCTCTAAAGTACCTAATCTTTTTATGTTTTAACGATCCTGTACTTTATTGTCTTGCTAAGTCATTCACCTTGGGGGATAAGACTTCAGATTACTAGAAGTTGTAGAGGTGATCCACATGACTAGCCATATTAGTATTCATTCAGTTTTGTGAGGAAGAAATATTTGGTCCAGATTCTGCAGTCTTTGGACATGGGTGAATTAATTGTCACAGGCCACAGTATGTTAGGAAACATCTACAGATAAACTACTATGCATAATATTTGGAAGTATATATACCATTTTGAAGTAATGAAAATAAAAATGTTATAGACTAAATGTTTTTTCCACCTGTTCAAACCAATTTGATTTAGAATCTCAACTGGATGTCACTGGTTCTTCCAAAACTGCACTCCTCTCAGCATATGATGAGTGCAAGACTGCCAAAGTATTTACTTAGTGGGATAGATACAAATACTTTATTTGATTACATACCAGTACATTGTTGATAAAAAAGTACAAAGCGAATGGATGTACTTCTTACAAGATAATTGATTTTTTATCATTATAATGTCATCGTTATTTTTTATCAGTGATCTGTTTAATGCTAATAAACCATATCTAGATAAGCATTCAACATGTAATTGGAATATAAATTCAGTACATCTCTTAATAAATAGATATCAGCCTGTACTTCATATATGACATTTGATTTGTTGTCTTTGATTGTTAGAGCCATGATGGAAAACGGTACCATCTATCAAGGAATGAATTAGGGACACAAATTAAGTATGATACCGAGACGTTAGAGTGAAAAATGACAGATGAATCGAAAAGTACTGGAATATAGGAATACAAGACTGAGATTGCAGCGAGTTATGACAAAAGGTCTAGATCATTTCAACATCAGCTCCTTATCACCTGTGTAAATCTCTTTGCTTAAGCAGATAGATGACACACACAGATTAATGAGTAACATCTTAATGGTTTCTGATCACTTGTGTTACACTTCACATGAATGTTGTAGTTTTGAGTTACATAAAAGATTGAATGTGTACCATGTAGGCTTGATTATGATTACTATTATGGGAATAGTAGAAGGCTAATCTGGAAAAAAAAATAATGGATGCATTGCAGTCAGTGGAATTAATTTGATTAAGAATTAACCTATGTGGTTGTAATAATAAGTCTCAGATTTATAATATCAAAGTCTGCATACATTCACAAAAATTAAATCTAACAGATTATAACATGTTGCTCCCAAATCACACACGCGCACACAGTCACACGTGCGCTCAAAGACATGCACGTACACAGCCACATAGGTTCGCACACAGACACGGACACACATGCGCACACACAGACACACTCGCACACACATGCGCGCACAGACACATGCGCATACACAGGTATAGATATACAGACATACATATACACACACACACACATACATATACACACATAGATATACACACATACATATACACACAGACATGTACACACACAGACATGTACACACACAGACATGTACACACACAGACATGTACACACACAGACATGTACACACACAGACATGTACAACACAGACATGTACACACACAGACATGTACACACACAGACATGTACACACACAGACATGTACACACACAGACATGTACACACACAGACATGTACACACACAGACATGTACACACACAGACATGTACACACACAGACTTGTACACACACAGACATGTACACACACACAGACATGTACACACACAGACATGTACACACACAGACATGTACACACACAGACATGTACAACACACAGACATGTACACACACAGACATGTACACACACAGACATGTACACACACAGACATGTACACACACAGACATGTACACACACAGACATGTACACACACAGACATGTACACACACAGACATGTACACACACAGACATGTACACACACAGACATAAAGGCATATACACACAGACATAAAGGCATATACACACAGACATAAAGGCATATACACACAGACATAAAGGCATATACACACATATACACAGACATATACACACATATACACAGACATATACACACATATACACAGACATATACACACATATACACACACAGACACAGGCATATACACACACAGCAGGCAATACACACACAGACACAACAGGCAATATACACACACATACACACAGGCAATATACACACACATACACACAGGCATATACACACACATACACACAGGCATATACACACACATACACACAGGCATATACACACACAGACACAGCAGGCATATACACACACAGACACACAGGCATATACACACACAGACACACAGGCATATACACACACAGACACAGGCATATACACACACAGACGCACAGGCATATACACACACAGACACACAGGCATAATACAACACACAGACACACAGGCATATACACACACAGACACACAGGCATATACACACACAGACACACAGGCATATACACACACAGGCACACAGATATATATACACACACAGACACACAGATATATATACACACACAGACACACAGATATATATACACACACAGACACACAGATATATATACACACACAGACACACAGATATATATACACACAAGACACACAGATATATATACACACACAGACACACAGATATATATACACACACAGACACACAGATATATATACACACACAGACACACAGATATATATACACACACAGCACACAGATATATATACACACACAGAACACACAGATATATATACACACACAGACACACAGATATATATACACACACAGACACACAGATATATATACACACACAGACACACAGATATATATACACACACAGATGTATATACACACACAGATGTATATACAACCACACAGATATATACACACACAGATATATATACACACACATATATATACACACAGATATATATATACACACACAGATATATATATACACACACAGACATATACACACACAGACATATACACACAGACACATACACACACAGACACATACACACAACAGACAACATACACACAAATACACACATACACACAAATACACACATACACACAAATACACACATACACACAAATACACACAGACACACAAATACACACAAATACACATACACACACACACATCACACACACACACATACACACACATACACACACACATACTCACACACACACACAACACACACAACACACACACACACACACACACACACACAACACATACACACACACACACTCACACATACATACATACATACATACATACATACATACACACACACACACACACACCACACACACACACACACACACACACAACACACACACACACACACACACACACATACACACATACACACACATACACACACACATACACACACACACACATACATACATACATACATACATACATACATACATACATACATACACACACACATACACACACACACACACACACACCAACATACACACACACACACACACACACACACACACACGTACATAACATACATACATACATACATACACACACACACACACACAACACACACACACACACACACACACACACACACATACACACAACACACACATACACACCACACACACACACAACCACACACACACACACACACACACACACACACAACAGCACACACACAGACAGACACACACAGACAGACAGACACAGACAGACACACACATACACACACAGACAGACACACACACATACACACAGACAGACACACACATACACACACAGACAGACACACACATACACACACAGACAGACACACATACACGCACATACACACACAGACAGACAGACAACACATACACACACAGACAGACACACACAGACAGACACAGACAGACGCACAACAGACAGACACACACAGACAGACACACACATACACACACAGACAGACACACACATACACACACAGACAGACACAGACAGACACACACATACACACAGACAGACAGACACACACATACACACACAGACAGACACATACATACACACACATACAGACACATACATACACACACATACAGACACATACATACACACACATACAGACACATACATACACACACATACACACACACACATACACACACACACATACACACACACATACAACACACACACACACACACACACACACACACACACACACACACATACACACAACACACACATACACATACACACACACACATACACACACACACACACACACAACACATACACACACACAACACACGACACCACAAACACACACACACACACACCACACACACACACACAACAACCACACACACACAGACACACACACACACACACACACACACACACACACACACACACACACACACACACACACACACACACACATACAGATGGATACATACACACATAGATACTTACATAGATGTTGATAATTTTATACACACATAGATGCATAGATGCACATGTAGATGTATACATGCACACGTAGATGCATACATGCACACGTAGATGCGCACATGCACACGTAGATGCGCACATGCACACGTAGATGCATACATGCACACGTAGATGCATACATGCACACGTAGATGCATAATGCACACATAGAGGCTACACACACACAGAAGCATACTGACACAAGTAGATACATATGCACATACATCCATGCACACCTATATGCATACTAATGCACACACACACACACACACACACACACACACACACACACACACACACCACACACACACACACACACACACACACACTGATTTACACATACATACGTTTATAATCAGAACACAAACCTGTATTCATAAACCTACATATGTACATGCACGTGCATGGGTGCATATGTAAGTATGTACATATATAAATACACATTTGGTATATTATATACATACAAACTTTGATGATTACATTCATTGCATTAGATTGGTGTTTTACAGGTGTGCTTAATCTTTTATCTTTATCTGTTAAGACACAGTTAATAGCGACCAACTTATCTAGGACTGCCTCTTTAGATAGAGACAAGTATGTGAGCGTAATCAGTGAGCGTGGTAGTAGAAGTTTATCTGTGGAGCGGGCAGAAGCTATATTTTTGTAATGCCGCGTTCATTCATTTGCGTTGACCCACTTGCTTCTTTGCAGGGCGAGAACTTGTAAATGATGTAACTTGTATTATTATTGTGAATTTGATATTAGTGTGGCCTATTTCTCTTGGTGTAATAGGTGATCAAGTTGAAAATACACTTCCATTCATATTGTTAGTTATGTGTTCACATGTATACTTTTAAACTCAGAACCATTCCCACATAGAGAAAAAGAGAATAGTGAAGGACTGAAAAAAGGAAATAGAGACCAAAGGAAGGAAGTAAAGTGAATTAAAAGCACTTTGATACTGCCATTTTGACTATCCTAACTCGTGTCATTCTTGCAATGATAGATGATGGTGCTATAAAGAGCACAAGCACTCAGTGTTTTTTCTCAGATAGAGGCAAATGCGAGTACTATAGTGAAATACTGAAAGGATGAGAAAGAAAAGTAGAAAATGCTTAGAATATTATCATTTTGTCATTCCTGACACTATTGCTCCATACCTTGGCAGGTGATGGTGTTATAAACAGCGGGCGTAGAAGGCCACCGCGATGTCCCTCTTCGCAAGAGCCCAAGAGCCCCCAGGAGGTGTCCAAAGCCCTCAAGGATGCTCTCACGGCACTCGAACGGTCTGACAAAAAGGCTGAAAAGGTCAGTGGAAAAGTATGTGTCACCTTCATTTTTTATTTCTTTGTGTTTGGCTTTTTGTGTGTGTAATATGTTCAGTTCGGTTGTTTTCTTTTGTTAGTACTCACCAAAGCTTTGTATTATTTGTGTGTGTGAAATATATGCATATATGATGATATAGATATATGAAAAAAATTGGAATTATACAGTAATTACTTTCATTGCATAAAATCTTGATTTGAGTGAACATATTTCTTTTATCCATATTCTTTTTTTAGTTATCTCAGCATTATATAGCTAAATTCTGTATAATGTTGATCAAGTTGATCTAAAGATTATTTGTGTGTGTGTATATATATATATATATATATATATATATATATATATATATATATATATATATATATATATATATATTATATATATATATATATATATCATATATTATTTATTTATTTATTTATTATTTATCTCTATATCTGTTATATTTTATATGTATCTGTATAGATGGATAGATTTATAGTAGATGAATATACAAGTATATCCCTTTTTCTTTTTTTATTTTGTAAGATATTCTGTCTTTAATATAACCTCGGTTTTCCATATCTAGTAATCTGTTGTATAATTTGCTATTATATCCTGAATGTTGATAACAGTCTATGATAGGATTGAGATAGCAGTCTACACTTAGAGATTTGGAAATTTAGCAAAGGAATGTTTAATTGAAAAATTGCAAAAATAATAATAATATTGCTTTTGTAAAGGTATGTGCTGATGATTGATGGAATTATCAGTATTCACATGAGATCCATATACCAATGAAATTTGTAGTAATTGAAAAACAATCATCAGTGTAAGTTTGGTGATATTGATAACTATTAAGCTTTGCAACCAACAGTACCAGTTTGGATAGCATATTTTACCTATATATATAAAGTTCTACTTGTATTTTTCAGGCAAATTGTACATTCATGCTAATCTGATATTGTTGATGTAAGATAACATATATGATTTATTATTTTCACTGTATACATGATTTTCATGTATCTATTTATCTGTTTTGTGGATATCCATTGAAAATTGATCTTTATGCCTGTGAATATTTGGAGTAATCTTTGCATTCATACATATACTTTGATTTCTTGAGCGATTTTACTTCATCTCCTATGTAAGCTAACGATTGTTACTGTCTTGATTTCATAGAGTGCTCCCCATGTCTTTGTCAGGCACAAGAGGACACTAGCAAGAGCCTGACGCAGATCAAGACGATGCTGTATGGCACCAGCGATTCAGAGCCTCAGGATATTGTGTTAGCACAGCTTGCTCACGAGTTTTACAACAGCAATATGCTGCTGCTCTTATCCATAACCTTCACAGAATAGACTTTGAGGTAAGTTCAGGCTGGCTCTTCTGTTCTATTCTGAAGTATACTGATGAAGTGATTGATTCTATATGGTAGGACTTTTTAAATCTTGATGCTGTCAGTATGTTTCTCCAGGAACCTGTTTTGTGAAGATGGCTTAGGTCTTCCCACAATTTTTTCAAAATGTTTGGTCATTCAAAGGTTCATAGATTGAATATAATATTTACAAGTATATTCAGACAGTCAGTATCTATATACTGACTCAGAATTCTATTTTGAGTAAAAATTCTTTTATTAAAATTGTTTTTAAAACCATACTTATAGACCATTTGTTATGTACATGTGTATAAGTTATGAGGTTAAAAGGACATTTTTCTGTTACAATAATTGTAATATTTTTTGTTTAAAGGTACTTATTAATGTTCTATTTAAATGGATATGTTCACCATTAATTATGGTGTGACACTAAATACATGTAATGTATTATCTTCACAATGTAGAGTGGAGAAAATTCCCTCAGGCTGTACATATGATGTTTGTAAACGTTTAATGGGCTCATCAGATGAGCACTAAGCCATTCATTCTGATTTACTCTGTATAAAAACTTGATTCCTCATCTGAAGTGCTCTTTACACTCCTTCACAGGTACTTCATGATGATTTACAAACTCAAACCTTTACTACACAACTCAATCATTCATTATAAAGGGTCATTATTTCCCAAAGCAAGGGAAGATAACATGAATATCACCAAGTTTGATTTTCTTTTGGAATAATTATTATTATACTAGCAAACATGCTTGGACAAATTTATCCAACTATTGCAGCAGTATGCTAAACTAAAATAAAATTTAAGTTATCAAAATGCTAGTGTCAAGACTTGGGTAGTGATGGAACTTT